TCTTCATTGTTGCTGGACACATTGGCCCAGTCCAGTTTGGGGATATTGTATTGGGGTTGATGCCATGCTTTTTCATGTGCAGACATCCTCCGCATCATCAGAGTGGAGTTTTTCAAAAGCCGACTTGGTGGTCGCCACAAAAAGGATGGTCATGACCCCTGTTAATATCGATAGGTGAGGTGGCGCATCCTTAGTTGTCCACTTGCATATCCATATGTCCATCTTCGTTCTTGTTGAACCCATTGGTGAAGTCTAGAGCAGGGATAAAGGTATGCTTTTTTTGTGTGTGTGCAGGGGGTCATTGGTGGGATGGTACATTCAGCGCCAAGGGTGGGAAGACCGCCGCGAAAGGAAAAAGAAGCATAGAAAGAGCATGTTGCATGGCAGCGCGCAACAGGGGGTGAGAGAAGCCTACCAGTGCGGGTGCTCGAAGGCCATTAAGCCGGGACCCAGCACCGGACCCCAAGTACTACGTACTTGGGACCACACCCGAGCGCTGGTACCTGGGGGTACCCCAGGTACCGGTGGCCACCGCCCTAGTACCTGTGTAGCAACTCTAACCCCTATACTATCGTAACCGTAGCCCTATTGGGCTGGTTATCATAAAGGGTTGTCGTTACCCCCGGGTACCAGTTAGTGCGGTACAGAGCATGGCAGCACGCACCAAGATACGGAGGCATCTAACTAAGCGCAGGAAGTCAAAGACGTCATCGAGGACCACATCCAAGTCTAAGGCATCAGATGACGAACCGTGACGAATTTTGTTATAGTTGCTGCAAGTGAACGTGTGCATTTGGCAAAGGATTACTAGCTATTCATTACCGCAACGAGTACCGGCCATGGGTTGGCCGGGAAAATGCAGCGGGAGATTGCCGTGTAGCCCAGGGTGTGTTTATATATGTAGTCTAGCGTTTGCAGGGGATGGCCGGGAAAGAACAGCGGGTTGCATCCCTTGTCTGGCAAGGAGTACCGGCCGCGGGCTGGCCGGGAAAATGCAGCGGGGGATTGCCTTTGGGCCCAGGGTGTGTTTATGTATATAGTCTAGTGTTTGCAAGGGATGGCCGGGAGAGAACAGTGGGTTGCGTTCCCGGTCTGGCAAGGAGTACCGGCCGAGGCAGTATTTATGATGGCATGGACTGCAAATAGGTAGACATACATTGTTTACACATGTATTAATATTGCACCTCGTTATGTCACTGCTGTGGCCTGTATCTAGAGGCAAAGGTTACTGAACAGAGGGGAAAAATCCGCTTGGCAAAAATTGCCTCCAACAGAAACCGCCGCTGACCAACGGAACACTACCGGAATCTCAAAGTCCGTGACGGATGGCAACGGAATGCCAGGAAAGGCAACGGACAAAAAAACACTTTTACAGAAACCGGTGGTTGCAAACACCCCCTTGACAGACAACTCCAGAGCCAAAAAAATGAAAGCTGACATGGCATGAACGGCTACGGAAATCCGTCCCTGGCTAAGTAACAGAAAATCAACTGACGGATTGTTTGTCTTTAAAAAAATTATAGAAGTAAATTAACAGAAAAAAAAGCTGAGCGGCTACGTCTACATGTGAGCAGTTCTCTTATGAGCGCTGTGCAGATGCTGCGATGCCATCAAGAGTAATGACAGGGCAGAATGTAATTTGCAGCACTAATGGAATTTAAAGGACGGCTCAGTAATAAATTGGACAATACTTATGATAGATTCTGACCGCTTTGGGTTGTATTGCCTAAGAATTGTGAATGGGCGTGTCAGGCAGATTTAATGGCATTGGAATTCAACTGAATTGAATTACTTCATGGTAGCGCTCGGAGTGAGACGGATTTTGTGGACTATGGGAATGTTGGAGCATGGTATAGAATATTCTTAAGATGATATGATGGTATATTTATGTTGAGATTTAATGGTTTTGAGTCAACCTTCATCGAACCGGAGGTGAGTCGTTTTGAACCGGTTGAAAACTGATATCAAAAGATGTAGAAATCTGTTGGTTAGCTGTACTACCTCCCCGTTATAGCTTGGGAAATGAATTGATATGAGTTGAGCCAAGAATACTCCCTGGTGCTTTTGCGGTATGAGGAAATGTCCTGGGCTATTTGTTAACTGTAGCAATTGGTTGTTTGTGCCGGTGGGACAAAGAGCGGTGCTGTGAGGGGGAGAAGGATGGACGATTGGTTGTGTAAACGCTAAGGGCCACTTTTGCACCTTGATGAATGCCTCGCGAGGCGATTGTGTGGTGACCCAAGTTGTGCACAGCTGTGGGGACGGTGTGTATTAATTTTTGAGTGTGGTGAGGCTGTCTCAAATGTCTGCAACGTGAGAGATGTTGCAACCCTGCCATCTAGCAGCTGCATGTTCAATGCTGTCGGCTAACCCACAAGGGTCCGTTCAGACCCCAGGAACCTCTCCTTGGTCCCTGAAATGTAGGTGAGTATGACTACTGCGGTTCATAGTCGCTGCCGTGCTAGGAAACAAGGCAGAACACTTGCAGCTGCCCTATGACATCTTTGCTGCATGCGGTTTGATTGCGAGGGGGTTGGTAGAAGTTCCTTTGTCAACGACCAGTGTCCAACAATGGCCAAGCTTTGAGGAGACTCCTGAGGTGTTGGCGACAAGCTGGACAAAATTTCGGCAGCTTTGGTGCCAGGCGAAGGGAGTCGTGATGTTGGCCAACGTTGGACGTTAATTACAAAGTGAGAGATCCGATGGCTGGCTATGAGGAGACGTTTTGACCGGCCTCAAGAGACGGTCGGTGATGAAGCGCTTCTTGTGAAGCACCTTTCACCTACCCTACTTGGAGCACCTGTGAAAAGGAGGTCTGAGGATCTCCTTGGAGGCCGAACTAGTCAACCGTTGGATAAAGAGGGCGTCAAGAAGATCAGAGATAGTAGTAGAGAGGTTGTTGAAGTTGTGGCTGGTGAGGAGAGTGATTTTTCTGCAAGCGAAGAGAGCAAAAAAAGCAACAAAACGCAATTCCTAGGAGTGCTGAGAAGGGGCCGTTCTGAAGGGGAGGTTGAGGAGGAAGTTGAAGCTGAGTTGACTACTTCTGTGCAAAAATCTGCGGTGAGCAAGAGAAGGTTGTGAAGAAGTTGCCAAGGAGGCTCATCGGCAGCTGCCACATATTGGAGTTTATGAAATGAACAATTTTGGTAATGGGTTTCTACCAAGGGCGACGATGGGTGGGCTGCACCGGCAATTCAAACAGTGCAGTTTGAACCTGGGGTTTACTCAACCCTGTCCCTTGGGATTTCTGGCCACCCCCTAGTACCGTGGGTCAGTCAAAGTATAGTATTCTGAGGTGCCGCCCGCGAGGGCGCCCTCGAGTTTGGCGGGCTTTGGCGGGGCGGCGGAGGGCGGCTATTTAGGCAGCCCCTCGGTCCCCCTCCTTATCTTGTTTCGCACCCAGACCTCCCGCCCTGGATAGTGGAGTTCGGGTTAGTTGTGGGATGGAGAGGGAGTTGAGGGAGTGAAGTACGGGAAAGGGAACTGACTCATGGGGAGTCACTCATTGAAGTGGCATTGAAGTACTAGCGAAGCGAATGGGCAAGTTTGATGGACGGGGACCTCAGGTATGTGATATTGACGGGTGTTTGTAAGTATTGTCATGGGGGTACATGACGGGGTGGGCTCAGGAGACCGGTAAGGCAGAAATGGAGCACTCTGATGACCTGTTGGTGTTGAGGAGGGAACTGGCAAGTAAACCAGAGGAGTCCTCACCCGCAAAGCTGGAGCTGGAGAGCAATTCTGTGGGTCCTCTGGAATTCCTGGCGGATTGTTGGTTCCCTCACTGCCAATTTAGCATTATTGCTCTCTGATTTTCTGGCACCTTTCCTGATGAGAATCTACTAGTTTGAGAGGGAATACTCGGCCAATGTGAGTGCTGAGTTGAAAAGGTGGATGCCTTGTGGGACTGGACCCTTGAAGAACCTAGGGGTTGACCTGGGATCCCTTAGGAATCGCGTCAGCGCTGTGTGGCAAGCTGCATCAGAGAGACGTCATTAGGGTCATCAAGAGGGAGCTGCGATTGGGCAGCCTGTGATTCAACCCTCTGAGGTGCTTGTTCATTGGAAGCACATTGTGTGCATTTTCCTGTTGGGTGTCTCAGAGGGGAGTCTCGTTTTTGGTGAAGCTCTGACTATTGGCTCTGGATTGGGCGTTTGCTGTAAACTACAAGCAACAAGGCGTGACTCACCAGCCCATAGGGGAGTCACAAATGGAGGTCTTTCGACACATGCATGCTGCAACATACAACAAAGAGGCTGCAGACCTGCCAGCCCACAAGGCCACACGCAGCGGAACATTCGGGGTTTGCCACACATTGTGCAACGAATGAATGGCAACATACATGCAACCCAGCACATCATCATCGACACTTGTCCAATAATGTAATTTTCTGTCTTGAAACATTCCCGTCACAATACCAGAGGTTAGGTCCGACACTCTATGAGCCACAGGTACCTGATCCAGCTATTTAATACATTCTTCATGGGGGCCGACCCCATAGCTGCAACAAAAGCACCCCCACAAGGGCTCCTCCCATAAGTATACCCTCCTGAGAACACAACCCTCCCTGTACTAGCACCACTATCTCGGCAGCTATTGCTCCTGCCATGCACAATACGTTATTGTCTTCAGGCACCTGCAGCTTCCCCCGCCACATTCATTAAATCGTCAAAACTCACAATCAATGAACCGTGGTTGGTGGCCAAAAAATAGCAATGGCATGCACTTTGATAGAAACAAGCGAAAAGATGAAGATGAGGAAGCAGGTGCCTGTAGCTGCCTATTCCTCTGCCTGAACACACACCTGCTGGGCGAAATAGCACCTCCTAACGTGGTGGAGTCCACTCCAATCCTGCCATTGAAGGACCACTCTATCTCACAGACTGCCAACAAACTTGCAGCTCCTACACAAAATGCTTGCAGGACATGGAGATACACACCCTGGAGCTGCATGACCGCAGGTGTGGTTCCTGGTTGACAACTGCAACAATTTTGGCGGCCTAATGTCGAACCCTTTGCAGATCTAGCCTGGGCAGGTCGTGTGCGCGGGTGGGCTGGCTGGAAGAGCCATATCTCACGCCATCCTCGTTCATCATCAGTTGGCTTGATGTGTCGGAGTCGAGGAATAGGGAAGTTGGCTCAGGATAGTTTGCATACCCACTCGAGGAAATGGGGTGCGAACGCCCTGTGGAAACGAGGAACGGTTCTAAATATCAGCAGCACGGAAATAGCTGATTGTATCTTGGGGGGACATTGCTGCTATGTAGAGGTGGTGAAATTGTTGAAAGCGCACCCACCTGGAGCCAAGTTCTGAGTTGGGACTTGAACCCATCCCTCTCTGACTTGTGTGTGGTCGTGTTCGTCAAACGTGTCGCTAAATGACAGCGCGACGTCTTCATCATCCTGACACTCGGATTGTGATTGTGTACCAATCCCGAACATTCTTGAGACCTTCTTTACAAATCCCTCCCTTTTCTTTTGCTTGTTTTTTGTGGTCCTATGGAATGCACACACACAAAACCATGACTTCAGTCACAGAAGCCTCGTGTTCCTCAGCATACCTCGCAATTTGGAACAGTGGATAAAGGCCCCTCTCGGCTATTACATGCATTGAAGGACAGCCCAGGCTGCTGCAGAACACTGGTAAAGCATCAGGCGCAGTGCGAATTCAAACATGGTGGAATTCCGCAAAAAAACAATGAGAAAAAAATGGCGTTCAGAAATATGCACATTGCCATATGTTATCCTTTCATGGGCAGATCAGCTCGACAAAAATCCAAACAGGTGGACCCCAATTCGGACGTCAATGTCTGTTGTCGCATCCTTGCACGAATTGGTTTCCTTGAGGCAATCAGGGCCCAGACAAAGTGCTTGTACGCCAAATGGTACAGGAAAGTCCAGAGCAGACATCCAGCTTGTTTGTCGTGCAGCTACTGCACCTGAACCACGACAGGCAGGTGTCTTTTCTGGGACAGTTCGTACGCACACATGTCAGCTGACGACTAAAAACCCTCTGCCTGCACCAATCCCTGCAATTGATGTGCTCAACATCGCTTTGAATTGCAAGGGCAGAAGTTACAACAACACTGGCAACTGAAATGCTCAGCTGCCACTGACAAACCAAGGCTAAGCGTGGAACCTGTCCGTGCTGCCTACCTGCGTGGAGATGATCCACCTTCTCCAGAGTACTGTGGGCTGGAGGCACCATATCCTGACTCAGTTCTTTGCAGGCCTGGCGCCATTCCAACGAACCTCTGCTGGGGGTGCAGAGGGGGTGTGTTGCCAAGGTGCAGCCTTGGGTCAGGTGGGAGGTATTGCTGCCAGGCGGAGTCTGTAGAATCTGGATCCATGAGATAGCCCTGCGCCTCTGTCAATAAGTCATTTTGATGATTTGATGAGGTCCCACGAAGGTCGCTTCTGTCGGAGCCCATCTGTATTGCACAAATAGTGAGCATTAGACATTGATGTCCTTGGCAATCCAAATGCCCTGTGGCAACGCTTTGGCAATCTGTGATATGTGCATGAAGTGAAGAAACAGAATCATGTTTAATGCTGATATCCTCAGTGAGACAACAAAGCCTCTGTACTGCTTGGCAGATTTGAGTTTCTCCTGGCAGATCTCCATTTCTTTAGTGTCTCTCCTTTGCTTCAGCGAGTACAGATAGCCCAAGATGGACATATGAATTCAGGTAAAATTAGTGCAGAAGGTGAAGGAGCATAGCACCAGAAAACCACAAAACGAGCTCAAACCAAGTATGCTCAATACCCAATATAACTTTGAAAGTGAATTGGGTTGCACAGTGTTCAGCAGTGACGGTATGCGCTGCAGTCAACAACTGGCTCTGGGATGCAGGCCATGGCTGCAGTAACTACAGACACCCGGGCTAATACCTACCATATTGGAACCTATTTAACTCCATACTCAGCAATATTGAATTTGGTACCAAACTCCTGTTGTACCAAATAAAATTGAAACTAGCACCAAACAATATTGAATCTGGTTCAAACTGACAACGTACCAAATAAAAAACTAGTACCCACGCAAACTGAATCTGGTACCAAACTCGCACGGGTACCAAAAATGTTGAATGGTGTACCAAGAAATGTTGAACCAATACCATTTAGTCATCAATCGCAACCACCATACAAGGTTCATAAACCCTGAACTAATCACAAGCCTAGTGCTAGTCGCAGGGCTGGTCGCAAGCTGCCACTTGTTGACTAATAGGTACTGGATTCAACATTTTTTGGTACACCATTCAGCATTTTTCGTATTGGCGCAAATTTGGTACCAGATTCAATATGCATCGGTACTAGTTTCAATTTTATTTGGTATGGCGGCAATTTGGTACCAGAGTCAGCATTATTTGGTGCGGAATTAAATATGTGCATTCCCGCATCGGCATACCATTACTAGATGCACCAAATCGGTGACTTTCTGCACTAAATCGGTGACTGCTTGCACCAACTCCCTCCAAAATTTACCTAACCTAAAACCTAAACCCTAAAAACTAAAATTAAACCTGCCCTAACCCTAACCCTAGCCCTAAACCTAAAACTCACCCTAAAACTAAACATAACCCTAAACTGAGGTTAGGACACAGTGTGCACGTGATTTGGTGCAAGCAGTCACCGATTTGGTGCAGGCAGTAATATTATTTCCCCCTCTGGGGGGATCGAAACCACGCCAGTATCCATGACTGGGCGTCAGTATCCACCCGCCAACCTCAAACAGAAACGAGTGAGGGCGCGGATGGTGGCCAGGGTTGTCGGCGGCAGGTGTTGGGCCGCGTTTCCAAGTCTGGGCCAAACCGCATTCCCCGCGATTCGCGCATCTACGGGGGCGGTCTGGTCGGGGTGGATGCCATTAAGGGAGAATTTGGAAGGAGGCCCGCGAAAGGCTGCGGGGTCGACTGGCTGCTGTTGGGGCTTTCAGCGCAAGATCGCTGGGCAGCGACCGACGCCGCGAGGTGCGATCCAAGAAGCGGTCGAGAATCAAGGCGCCTTGGATTGAGCCCTGGATTGAGGCAAACTGCTGCCCCCCCCCCCCGGCCGGCCAGAGCGGGTTCTAGAGTGGCGCCCGCCAAGGGCGCCCAACGCCCAGCACCTCGAATGGCCAGGCGACGGCGCTGGTCGGGGCGACCGTCGTTGTGAGGCCCCACCTTGCAGAACTGCCTGCAAAACGCCACGAACGCAGGGCCCGACCCCAATTCGCACATCACATTGGCCACCAGGCCACAGACCAGTCACAGTTCCCATCAGCCATCCCAGCGGGCATCAGCACGGGAAATCGCGGGGGGCCAACCCCAATCGTCACAGCGCAGCGCCCTGGTGTGTTGAGGCCCATGTCCGTCCTCGTTCTTCGCATAGCAGAGGAAAACATGCCTCGAGCATTCCAGCGAACCCTTTTGGACCAAATCGCCAGTCGTCCCCACCTAGTGCAGCCCCAGTCCAAGCCGCTGGCTTCCATGAAGAGGCTGACAACTTTCAGTAATAGCATTGTCAATGACAGAAGTGTGTTGTTTGTGATTTTGTAACTTTGGCTTGGTGATGTTGCCACCTATGCAGTGCATGTTGCATTGTTTCAAGCCCATTTTGGGGCATTTCGTGGCCCATTCTTCAGAAAATTTCTTTGTCTACTTGGATCAGGTATCTAAACTGCGTTTGTATCGATGACCCATTATTAGTATATTTGGGGGGTATTTTGGGGGTATTTTGGGTATATTTCACCGCTCATTTTGGGGGTCCAATACACTTCTACTAATACAAGGTAAATACAGTATCACGCCATGCCACTCCACCCCGCCTGAAATGCACAGAATGTAGAGCAATTCAACCATAACACTGTGACATATTTGCTTTGGTATGAACCTAATATAGCGTGTGTTAAACGACACTGAATCAAGGCAACTAGCAAACAAAGGAGCTCATTCTTCTCCAGCCATATACCCACCGGAGCAGACCCATCCCACTGCCCGCCCTGGCCTCCGGGAAAAGATGCAAAGGGCCCTCTGGTGCCATGGCCATCCACAGTGTCTGGAGTCTCCACTCCCTCCTCCTGCCAAGCAAACGGCATCTGCATGCTGGCCATCGGATTCATACAATCCCCCATCCCATGCACAAAATGTGATTGCTGCATGCCATGCATGCTTCCTTGCACGCCACCATTATTTCCTCCTTGCATGCCCCCTTGCATCCTTCCCTTCATGCCAGGGTGCATACCTGGATGCATGCTTCTATGCATGCCCATCGAGCTGGGACCCATCGGCATATGTGACATCCCTGCCATTCCTCGCATTCCTCCCATTCCTGCCATGCCCCCCATGCCCTGCAAGCCTGGCATTGACATTCCCCCCATACCCATTGGGTGCATCCCTGGCATCATGTGCATACTGGCCCCGCCATGCATCCCTCCCATAGACATCGGTTGCACAGCCACCAGCCTCTGCATGCCTGGCCCTGGCGTCATACCCCCTGAGTCATGCATCCCTGCAAATGCTTGGTAGCTGGGCATACGGTGTGGTAGCTGTCGATTGAGCACATGCTTTCGAAGATGGTTGAGCTCCTCCAGCTCTTGTTCACGAGAATAGCAAGCCTGTCCACAAAGAATAAGAATAGCATGATTCAACAACAGTGCCAATCGAGCTTCTTGAAAGTTAATATGACAATCAACCCTGGCGCAGTGCAGCTAGAGGAGACAGCTCAGGTGAGCAGAAACACATGCAATGGGCACACAAGTCACAATGACAGCAAAAACTTCGCAAATCCTGCCTAAATACGCATGTTAAAAAACTGCTGGTTGACATGTGTCCTTGCACAGAGAGTGTCTCAGGTAGCATAGCTCATACAGAAAAGTGTCTTATCTTCACCTTGTCGAGCTGTTCGACCTTTTCCTGTAGCCTGTGGACTTCAGATTCCATTGACCTGTCCCAAGCCCCACTGGACTCAGCATGCTTGCCACCAGAGCGGCTGCTTCCAGACCCCTGGACAGCATACACTCAACACTGAGAGACAATCAGAAAAGGGTTGTGGATGAATTGTTGTTGACTAAATTTTGTGACTTCATGGTGACATGACAAAAACAATGAGTGTAAATGTGCAACAAGACAACAAGATGTCAGGCTAGTCCACAGCTGAGAACACAAGCAGCCAACAGCATGTGCCATGTGCATAATCACACAGGGTCCCCAACCAGGACACAACATCTAGAGTTGAGTACAGACATTTTTTTAGCACCACTTTCGTACTGCTTCAATGCAGCTCTCGCGCAAATTTCATTTCACATTTGCACATTTGCACTGCAAAACTTCCACATTTGCATGCAAAACAGTGCGATCCTCAGACATCAGAAACAAGAGTGTGCCAAGCATGCTGGAAAATGATATGCAAGACCTAATTCGACCCTAAACTCTGGCAGCCAATACCATACAGATGGCGCCTGTTGAATTGACACAAGTGCAAACTCCAATATTCATAAGCAGTCTGTGCTGAAACACACTTGGATACAGGGATTCTTGCTTGCCTTGCTCAGCTTTGTCTCCAGGTCCTGGACTTTGCCTTGAAGAAGCCTCAGCTCCTGCTGCGTGCTGCCCACATGCTTCTCCTCCCAGACCCTTTGCCGCCTTTCAAATTCCTGAACTTGGTTCCTGAGGTCCTGCAGTTCCTGAGACCACTCATGGGAAGGCTCAATCCGCTGCTCCTCTGGTGGCTTCTGCAGAGCTCTGATGGCTTTGGCATGCTTCTCCCTCTTTCGCGACCGTGCACGCAAATATCGCTGCATCTGCTGTGATGCCCTAAGTTCGGACATCTTTTCCATGCACCTCATGGTCAATGGATCTGCACGGAAGAGGGTCGCCTGGCTTGTGTCGCTGCCAGGAACATTGAACCTTTGCGGATGAATTCGGATCTGTTCAAGGCAGACAGACAAATGCTCTGTTGCTGCCACAGCTGAAAAGAATGCAACGATGTGTCCCATGGACCCAAAGGCTGTGACAAAACATCATTATGCCCTCCAGCACAGCTGTACCCCATCGGGCACGATTTACACAATTCTAAATATCTGTATTGATCTTGCTTTACCAAAGCAATTGTATTCTATTACGATGCACTAGTTGCACAAGCATGGTGTGGACAGTGATGGCAACAGCAACTGACACATTATAGCAGCTTTATCTTTAGCTGTGCAGCAATGCTGACCTGTCCAAGGTCCTCTGCGAATCGACAAGTAGACTGAGTGTCTCTAAGGTGACTCTCATCCCGGAAGACACAAGCTATCAGCAGAGTCCTGCAGTTTCCACCGATCGCATCCTTAAGATAGTGTGTAACTTTGCAGTCGCCGAAAGGGACATATGGCATCTTTCTCTTGAGCTCCTTTGCAACCTGTGGGCAACAACAACATATGATTGGAGGCATGCTCTCCTGAGTGTGCCAGTATTTCAGTAGCCACATTCATAAGGGTCATGGATGGGGATATTCAAGACGCAACGATGATGAATAAACTCAGCAGCTTTATCCACGGCTATGATCTGTGATTCTTAACAACATGATCACAACAGGTGCTGGAGCAAATCTTGGGCGATGACAGCAGGTCACCGGCGACGACGTTCAAGCACAGGTCCTGGGACCATGGATGGAACTGTTCTTCCACAAAACATGAACCAGAAGCCGCCAATCAAATAAACCTTTGACACAGAAACACAAGACTGATCCACAACAAGATTCTGAAACTCAACTTCTTACCCAAGGAAAACAATGATGCACTCACCATGGACAGAACACCCACAGACCTATTGAGAAATGCTGCTTCCTTCAAAAGTGCTCCAGTTTTTGGATTCATTTTCCACAATCGCTCAGACCCAGCCAAGTCCACCATGTTGAGCTTTGAATGACAGGTCTTCCCATCTGCACACCCACAGCCCTCCATCACTTCATCATTGCTGGCTCCTGCTAGATATTGCCATAAAGAGCTCTGGACTTTTACACCACCTCTGTTATGGTGCAGTGCCACTGGGAGTTGGTGATGACACAACTGTCAGATGTATGCAATGCTACACTGGACAACGCCCACTCTCTTGTTTAATCGACTCTTCAAGCTTCGAACAAGTGCATATTCCTAAACTGCTGTGCAACACAGATGAAGCAATTATCTTATCATTGAAGAGGCCATCACACCTTCTCCCACTCTCCATACTGAAAATGTTGCTGGTGCCAACTGCCTTCCATTTCCAGGGTTTGTCCACAGTTTATTGTGCCAACAAGACAAAGGCAGCCACATGATTTACCCACCTATCTCATTCTCTATCCACAAAGTGAAGATTGTATGCGACCTAGCAGAATGCAGATTGGCAGTCGCATTCTCTGAACCATGCAGTTGGCTTACTCCCTGCACCCAGAACCAAGCAAACCAATCCAAACCAGGCAAACACAAGGCTGGTGAGCAACATCAGATGTAGATCCCCTTTTACACAGTGTGGCTCACAAGCCATGGTGACTTGGAAGCCCATGTCACAAATCATTATGCAATACTGTTTCAAAGAAATGAGTTGCCTGTTGCTGCCCTAAAACACAGCACTTGCCTTTTCCAAATAGCCCAGGGCTTCTTCAGCAGAGCTGGCACTCTCAAGCTCAATGTTTCTGAATGTCATGTACCCTCCAGCCACATAGTTACTCCTGTGAGCAAAACCAACCACTTCAGCCCATTCCCTTGGTGTTGAATCACAGTCTCGCTTCGGGGGCGAGTCCAGTGGCCTGCTCTGGACATTGTTGATATCAGGGTATGGTCCATTAGAAAGTGGTATGAGGCAACTACAGTATGCCCAGAATTGCTGAAAGGTAAACAAAACATAGTCTTCAGGTCAACCAGGACCACAGCACCGTTGTCAGTCGATGCTGCCTTGTGACGTTGCACAGACATAGACGACACTGGGTCTGTGGTGGACTCAACATTATCTTACGTGGCAAGCAAAAAACAGCACAACCCAGCAATGGCACATGGCAACAACATTTAACAACACTTTTCCACGCTCTTTCAATCAGGAGCACAATTGTTAGCACTATTGAGTACCATGCACTCGAACTGGTCAGGTAAAAGTATAATTATCCAACAGGGCTGGGCAGGCAGTTGTATGAAAGTACATCAGCCACACCAAAAGCATCCCATCCCCCACTCCACCACAAAAAGGCACATACTTGCAGCTGGTGTCCATCACAGAAATATCCTTTTGGTCAGGATGAAGAAGGTCTGCAATGGTCTCGTTGTGGATCTCCACAAACGTCACACTCACACTCCAGTTCCCAGATTCCCCGAGGTCTGCGAACACCTGCATTGCAAGCATTTCATGCTGTGAAACTGTGCTGTTGCCTTCTTTAGATGCACCACATGCAGCGGCTGTAGTCATAGTCATCGACAAGAGTGTGGCAGTAAGACACGAAATCGGAGAGCAACAGCATGGAAGGTTTTAAACCATGGCCACCTGACCCTCCGCACCTGGCAAACAGCTCTTGGGATGATGCCTTGACCACTATTGTATGGTGTAAACGTCTTGTCCGGGCCTGTGTATTTGCCAAGCATGTAACAAAGTCAGTTCCTCTGGTAAGCAGCTGTGCAAACCTGATGGCCTACAAGGAGTAAAGCGTGTACCACATAACACAGCTGGTGTGTCTAAGGGCACCAACACCGTTGCTAATCACTTTTTCACCCCTTCAGGAAACAATGTTGAGATTCCTTTCTGCACACCAGATCGTTTTGGCAAAGTCTATGAGTGCATGAACACAGTGAGTGCTTGGTGCATTAGACAGTGGCAGCTGCAACTGTGACAGGTTTTCAGATCACTACTGTACGATTAACTGGCCTGGCATGTGAACAACAGTTTCCAGGGCAGTGGCCGAGGAGTGAAGCCCAACATATTTTGTGCTCCAGAGACAGCAGTGCATTTCTGAATTCCACTCTTTGCTCTTCAAGTACAACAGAGCTTTCCTCTGGAGGCACAACATCACCCCACCTATCATCGTGTAGGTCTTCCCAGAACCTGTGTGGCCATACGCAAGAATAGATGCATTGTACCCCTTGCTCACTGACGAGACAAGAGTACGGGCGCAGGCCTGACAACAACAAACTGTCAATTCAGCAACTTTTCCAGCTACTAACTCCCGCTTCCCAAAGTTCAGGAAGAGGATGAAAATGAACATCTGCCTAATCCGTATTGCAAGGAGTTCGAGATCCGAGATAACAGAGATAACGATTGTTCAGGGGATAAGGCCCACAGGCACAGGTGAGGACAAGTTGCAATGCTGTTACCAGCTAGCTCCAACTTCAAAAGCTCAGGGCAACAGCAGGTAACAGACTCAACAAAAATGGGTGTGTGTGGTAGCTTTGGCTCTTCAGCAACGTAGGGTTCATGCTCCCCGCAGCAAAGCTGCCATGTCTTTGACATGCGGGCGCACCTCGTACACATCCTCTTGCCCCTCACTCTCAAACACATGAGGGAAGCAGTACTGTGCACAGTGCAAAACAGTGTGAGTCTTGAGATTATCAGCCATGGGACATAAACCATGAAACATTTGACACTAGCCCAATGACAATTTGGGCCCTTGCAACATGCACACAACACACCAAAACAAGTTCACCAAACTTTTGCAGCATCTGCTCTCCTCCATTGTTGACAGGATAAGCAGTTCATCCCCAAAAAGAAGAGCAGTAGAATCGATGCTAATTCACGATGAGCGTGCCCATGTCAACGAAGTGCAATCCCTTTCCAAACACCACAAACGCGTCGACACACCCAAGATTGTGACCAAGCAAGGCACAATCTTGGATGATAATTGCACATTGTGCACACTGTTATTGTTCATGCATTGTGACCAGCATCTATGGCAACGATGCGACCTCCACCATTTGGACAAGATTGGGGCATCCCAACAGCAAAGAACTGTTCACACAGTGCCCAGGCTGCTGTTAGCTGCAGCGTGTGCATGTGGTAGGTCAGTCATTGCTGACACAGCACACAACAGTTGAAGCAGTTGAAGTGTTTGTTTGTGACATTCTGGCCATTTCTTGCAATGCTGCAGAACCACTGGTGGACAGAAGTCCATGGGCAAAGTGATGGACGCCCAAAGCATAACCGGAGACCAGCTAGAATACCAGCTAGAACCAGCTAGAATGACCGGCTCTACGCAGGCAGTGCACAGCGCTGGATTCGGGTTGCGGGATCTCTGGGATATGTACCGGCAACATCAGAATGCACTGGCAACATGCACTGCCAACTCGTTGTCTGTTGTGTCCGTCCAGCAATGTTCACAAGCAGTTCAATCGACCCCACTTTTGACAAAATGGCCCAGCGAGATCACCACAGCAGGAACGGATTCGTCCCGGCTTGCCTCCGAGGACAATTACCAGGGCAGTCGATATGAGCAGTACAGTGGTACGTCAGTGTTGCGCTGGGTGTCGTCTCGAGCACGCGCCGATGGAAAACCGAGACCATAGGGGGCGCGAAAGGGTGCCTTCTTTCCTCCCTTTTCTTTCGTGTGCCGTGTCCACGCGAGTTCGAGATGAAAAGGAGAGCCGTGGACCGCAACAGATCGGCGATTGGTCACATTGTGTCGTATCCCGCGGCCTGTTGTTTCTGAACAGCGGCAGCTCCGGCCAGGTCCCCCGATCAACCCGTCGAGGGTCGTTCAACAGCCGCATCCCCGCTGGGTAGGCGTCCTGACGCGTCTTGGCCCGTCGACAACCGACACTCTCTTGGATCCAATTGGCTGGCGACGGAACACAGCCCGCTGCCCAATGCGGCAGCTTGGCATCGACGGGGCGCGGAGCGGCTCAGCGGCAGCCGCCGGCGGACAGTCTGACCACACAACAGCCCGGTTGCCGTGATGGGACCCCACCCGCCGGCTGCCCACCGGCCAGAGAGGCGACGACAGCACAGAAAGCCTGTCCGCGCAATTTCATCTTGCTCCAGTTCAACTTGCCCGGGAACCCCGTCTGACGGGCGCGAGTCAGCCCGCCATCACGTGATGCGTGCCGCAACCAAAAACACGCGTCCAATGTACGCACAGGCCCCGACCACCAGATCGCAAGACAGCCCCGCGGGTCCGAGCCATGACTCAGGCGGCAGCCCAGGTCCCGCGACAGCCGGCACCCGCGCCACGGCCCCCCAAACAACCCCGGCCGGCCGTGGCGAGCAACAAAGCCGCCGGCAGCCACGCGTGAGTGCGGGGCGAGCGCTGCTCGGCGCAGAACACGCGCGTTCGGCCACCCTCCTCGACGCGATCGCCATGCGTCATGCGCTGTCCAGCGGCGAGATTGCTCCGCGCCGCCTCGTACCTTGTGCACCGTCCCCGCGTCCGTCCTGCTCCCGGCCCTCACGAGCAGCGAGCACCCCTGCGCAGGCCACGGAACACCTCGCGTCGCATCCTTCCCCTTCTTCGCTTCTTCACGACTTGCCCGCCTCACGATAAGCCCAAGGGACGGTAGCCCCAGGAGCCCCCGCTGGGGGCCCCACCGCACACCCCCTCCCCCACCTGATCGCCGGGGGCCACCGTGACGCTGCAGTCCCGCTCGTTGCCATCGGCGGGCTTCACGCGCACGGCCACCTCCACCTCCGTCGGCTCTCTGGGCGCCATGGACACCCCATCCTGCGACCACCGGGCCACCGCGACCTCCCCCTCGCCATCGCTAGGCATGGCTGCCGCCTGGCCGCGATGCGCGCCCCTGCCCGCAGCCCCTTTGCGCCTCCGCCGGTTTGTCAGCGTGGCCGGGCCTCATAGCCGGGCGGGGGGGAAGGCACTGCGCCCCACGCGCGAGCCGATGTTGTTTCTTTGATGTCGTTCGGCGGAAGTCCCAGCCGACGCGGCTGTCACGTGTCAGGGCGAGAGGTCGCGTCGGACAAGTGCGCTCGGTGGCAGCTGTCGGGGCTGATGCGCCGAAGTCAGTGCCGGGTCGTTGTACTGTGAAATCACGTGTGCACGCGTCAGCGCACTTGTGACTGTGGTGCGGTGCGAGGTTCCTGCTGCAAGAACGGAAAAAAAGCATTTTTCGGGCTGGCGAGATCTTCCCTCACACATTCGTTCTGACGCAACGGTCGACACGAATAGAATGGGGCACGATTGTGTACCATCTATGTTTTTGATGATGGTGTTATTTCAATATGCAAAAGGCATGTTGGGTGGGATAACCTGAATCAGTTTTACGGCAGTCATGCTTTGGAAACGCTAAATTTACTTTAAGGAAAGGACACAACAATTATGAATGATGTTTGGGCATGTTTCATAGTTTGCCGGCAATTGCATTGACTGGGTAAGCACGTTGAGAAAGGTTGAATTGGAACCGAGGTGTAATCAGATAGTCAATTGAAAAGGTAACTTAGAAGGAACACTTAAACGGTGATATGGATGAGAATGAGAACTTAACTATGTAGATCATGTTTGCGGTGCCTGATAAGGCCCGCGGGGCCTCTTCTACCGGATGGCCGGCAAGCTTTGCCAGGGCGCTCGTGTCTTCGGGTTCACAACATGGGCCCAGCCATAGGGTGGCCGGGCACAGGGTTGTTGTGCGCGTTGTGGGAGCGTGGCACTGTGCGGCTCGCGGGTGCAGCTGCTGGGTGCGAGTGGGGCAAAAGAAATGGAACTACAGTTTGAGAATGCATGGTCACCCTTTTGGGGGTTGGCCACCACTTGGATAACATGACAATCACAGGGCCCAAGGATAGTATTTTATGCCCCAATATGATATGGCAGAAGAGGTCTAAAATAATAGGGTGATCGTGAAGGCCCACCATAATTATCAAAAATGACCTAGTGGCCTCACCTGGTCCTTTTGAGTGGTGTTTTTGATACCTATGAGTCCAGTACCCCACTCACAATATGGTAGAATAGTTGCGATTGTATGAACGCTGCAGTGCTTGTACAACACTGCCTACAAGTATATTCTTCACTACTTTTTTGTGTTCGCCTTCACGGCAAAACACTTCTGAGCACTTTCTCAATGTTGTGTGCCTCCCTCGCTGTCCTCGCAACACATCGCACATTGTGAACTAGCAGTCAACAAGCACACGACTATACGCCCAGACCCGTCAATGCTTGTACAATGTTGCGAGTAAGACAACACAACAAAGCTCCATATTGTATTTACCTGGTATTAGTAGGCACCCCCTATTAGTATCCACCCCCCTCTTTGGGGGTCGAAACCACGTTAGTATCCATGACCCGGTGTTAGTATCCACCCCCAAACGCAAACAGAAACGAGCAAAGGCACGGATGATGGCAAAGGAAGTCGGCAGCTGGTGTTGGACCGTGTTGCCTAGACTAGACCAAACCATGTTCCCTGCGATTCGCACATCGACGGGGACGATCGGGTCGGAGTGGATGGTGTCGAGTGAGAATTTGAAAGAGGGCCTGGGAAAGGCCGCATGGTTGACTGGCCACCGTTTGCACTCTCAGCACAGGATTGCAGGGTATCGACCGATGCCGCGGGGCTCAATCAAAGAAGTAGTTGAGAAATCAAAGCCACCTTGATTCTGGATTGAGTTAACCTCTTCCCTGGATGGCCAGTGTAGGTTCCGGCCTGCTGCCTGCCAAGGGCGCCCCAAGTCCCAATGCCAGGAATGGGCAGGCAACGGCGTTGGTCAGGGCAGCTGCCGTTGTGAGATTGTTGCGGCCCTGAAGGGCGCCGCTGGTTTCCGAAGCTCGTGGGGTCGCCACGCCCTGCGGCTTGGCTGTTGGAGGTCAGCCAACCCTCTCCACCGATTTCGGTGGGCGGAAGCGGGGCGCTCGTTCCCTCGGATGCGCGGTGGGCCCAGAACGATGGGGATCGTCCCCCCGGGGCCTGCTGTATGCAGCGGGTGGTGGCGCAGCCAGTCGGTGGCTCGCTGGTCGCGGAGAGACCAGACAGTGGGCCAGAACGGTTACACGAATTCCCTGCATGCGCGCGCACAAATCCGCATGCGCGATGCCCGATTGCGGGTCCATCGCTGTCACATCAAGACAAGACAAGACAAGTGCGCATCCAGGCACATCGTCACCGTCCACCGTTCACCTAAATCAGCTCCACATAATCCCCGATGCTTCCATCTACCGGTCCGAATCCCATGCTAAAGTACTGCAACTTCAAATGGCCATAACTTCGCCGTTTCTACACGGAATTGGACGTTTCAAGTCGCTATTGGCATCAGGAGCTCCTGAATAAGCCGATTTCAATATATTTGCACTTTTTTGACCAACCGCCGCTTCAGAAATGTCAATTTTAGCCTAACCCCAAGCAGCCACATCACAATACTCCCCCCTTGGGGTAGCTTTCGCCCCCGAAAGCACACTATCCCATACTAGTGTCTTCCTCGGGCTTATCCCTCTTGATTATTTTCTGAAATTCACGTGCATAGGTGAAATTTCCAGCAGGTATCCAGGAGGCATCATCAATACTCCACCCTGTCCATAACACTAAAAACTCCTTATGCCTCCTGCCACTGGGTCCTGCCCAGGTCCATCGCAGCAGCTTCTCAACTTCATATGGTTCATCAGCTTCTGGCTCAATCTCGGCATCATCTGTCTCTTGTGGGGTAGACCATCTGGACGATCTGAATGATCGTAGCAAACTAGTGTGAAAGACGTTATGTATCCTCCACCCTTCTGGTAGCTTCAATTCGTAGGCCACTGATCCCACCTGACGGACCACAGCAAATGGTCCAACGAATCGTCGCTTCAGTTTGCGAACAGGTGCATTCTTCAACTGCAAATGCTCTGTACTGAGTAGCACCTATTCCCCACTGTGAAACCTCTGCTCTCTGCACCGCTGATCGGCCTGACGCTTCTGCCTCTGCTGAGCCTGATGAACTGACTGCATCGCCATTCTGAATGTCTTTTTCATTCGGTTGACAAAGACGTTGACACCCTCAATGTTGGTCTGGTCCACGTCCTTGATCAGGTCCAACGGGGTCACTGGCTCAAAGCCGTAGTTTAAAAAGAAAGGCGTGTACCCCGTGGATGGCGATGCGCTGCTGTTGATCACGAACTCCACCATGGGCAAGTATTTCTCCCAGTGACTAACTTCCTGACTGCCATGGATTGTACACCTGAGGACTTGCTCCACCTCCCGGTTGGCTGCCTCTGTCTGTCCATCTGTCTGGGGGTGGTGAGTGCTGGACATCCTCAGCTTGCTGCCCAAAATCTTCCAGAATTCTTGCCAAAACTTCGACACAAATCTGGGATCTCGGTCACTGACGATCGATCTGGGGATCCCGTGAAGTCGTCCAATCTGTTCCCAGTAAACACGAGCTGTCTCAGCAGCAGTGATGGTCTGCTGGACTGGTACTAAGTGTACCATCTTGGTAGCTCGGTCTACCACCGTGAGGATCCCATCGTTTTTCTTCTCACTGACCGGTAGTCCCATGATGAAGTCGAGGCTGACATCACTCCATTTTTCCTCTGGAAGTTGCAATGGCTGAAGGAGTCCTGCTGGCAACTTGTGGACACTCTTCTCTGACTGGCAGACCTCACATCCCAGCACAAAGTCTCGTACATCCACTGTGTGATCTGGCCAGTAGAAATTCTGCTGTAACTTCTTGAGTGTCTTGTGGTAACCAAGATGTCCCGCATATGGTACTGTATGTATCTCTGCCATAATCTTCTTGCGGGCGTCCTCCACATCTGGTACCACCAATCTCCAAGGTTGCCTGTCCTCGGTGTTGTCCTTCCACTTGATCTCAATGAATCCATGGTTCAATCGGTAGTCACGATTCCCGATCCTGGTGACTCGTCCTTGGGCAGATTCCAACTGATTCAAAATTTCTGCCCATCTGCTGTCTTGCTTGTAGCCCTCTTTTATAAAGTCCCTCAAGTCTTCCTCCAGAGTAATCCTGGTGCTGGTCACCAATAAAGAATGTAAAGAATTTTGTTCCCCACTTGCAGCCACCACTGCACCCTCAGGACTGGACTTTTTAAATATTTCGTCCAGTTTCTTTTGAATATCGTTTTCCCCGCTGTCACCCTCATGAAGACGAAGACGCTGGACCAATGACTCCTCTTCTGCACGCACATCTGCCATGCATCTCAACTCATGAATACTCCTGCGCGTCAGAAAATCTGCAGGGTTGTCCTTTCCTGGTATGTGGATAATGTCGCAGTCGTAGCCCTGCAAAACCTGCACCCATTTCCACACCCTCATGCTCACTGCAGGTTGGTTGGGCAGGTTTTTCAAAGAATCATGATCTTTCTGGATGACGAAGTGGCGGCTGGCCAAATAGTGCCGCCATTTCCCAACAGCTCAAGTGATACCCAGTAATTCTCGTTCATATGCACTGTACCGGGTCTCGGCCGGGTTAAGCTTCCTGCTCTCATAGCAAACGGGTTGCAGCCCGTTGCCGAAGTCCTGCTGTAGTATACCACCCACTGACACCCCTGACGCATCTGTGGTAACTACAAACTCCCGATCGAAATCCGGTAACTGCAAAACTGGTGCAGTCACCATGGCTGTCTTCAAACGATTGAATGATTTCTTTGCTTCGTCACTCCAAACAAAGGCCCTGTCCTTCTTCATCAAGTCCGTCATGGGCGCTGCCAGCTCGCTGAACCACCGTATGAACTTGCGATAAAAACTGCACAGCCCCAAAAATGAACGGACGTCGGTAACATTCTCTGGTGTTTGCCAATTCAAAATCGCTTGGACCTTTGACAGTGAAGGCTTGATCCCC